TATCCAGTCTTTTGTTCTCCTCCATTTCTTTTGTTTGAGATCTCTTTTCTTGTCTCAGCATTTTCATTGCTTCCCTGAGTTGGTAGGGAGGCTTTGTGTGCTTGGTGTCCTATATGGTCCTGGTGGGTCAGCCTCCCCAGTTACCTGAGGTGGACACTCTTGATGCTCCCATTTGTGTACTGTGTGTACAGCCTTATTGTAGTTAAGTCTTGATTGCTGTTGGTATCATTGGGAGAAATTGATCTCCAGGTCCATTGGATGTTAGTATCAGCTGTGTCTACACCAGGATACCTTCTGTATTTATTGGGAGACAGTCTTATAAGATCAGACTTGCAAATTTGCAAAAGCCTCTAAGCTCAGCTTGGATGGGGCGGAGTCTCAGGGCTGAGCCGCCAGCCTTAGCTTCCTGTTAATACTGCCCTTGTGCACGTGCCTCAGACCTCTGCCTTCCATGGATACCCTGAGTTTCTGCCTCACAGTCCAGATCCCACTTGTAAGAGCATGGGTGCCCCAGGGGCTTGCCCTGAACTGGGTTTCAGTGTTCAGTGCAGTCGGAACTGGGGATTCAGTGCAGTTAGGAGTTTCGGAATCCTTCCGCTATGGAGAGGCCTTAGCAACCTCTGTGGTCAGACCTCTCTGTGTGCACCCACTCGCGCGCTGCGGCTCCTGGCTCCCCCGCGTCTCCCAGTCTTGGAGTCTCTGGGTGCCTTTCTCTACAATCCAGACTTGACCCGTAGGAGCCTAGGTCCACAGGGTTTTGGCTGGGGTTGGTGTTCACTGCAGTTGGAATTGGGGTCAAGTCGGGGGCTTCCTTTCCCCTCCCGCTAGCTCAGCACTCAGCTGCCCTTCCTCTCTATGCGAGTGGCTCCCTACCTCAGCGTTTTGCAGCCCCACTCTGTGAGCCTCTCCCCTTCTTTCTAGTTGTAGATTTCCTGCTCAGCCAGCTTTCCTGTGGTTTTGGATGATGTCTGTTCTGTCTTTTAGTTATTATTTTGAAATAGTTGTGCAAGGGAGCAATTTAGGCGTGTACCTAGGCCGCCATCTTGGTTCTCCTCTGATATTGTGTTCTCAATAGCTATCTACACTGGTAAGAGAGTAAGATGCAAATTGACTGTACCTTTGCAACAACCACCATCCACTCAGGAATATGTATGCAAATTAACCCAACAATGATGGTGGGGTTAATTTGCATATGCAGGTGCCAATCAGCCTGGGCCAGGATGCTTGCATTGCCGTGGCAACGACACAGGCATTTCACACCACCCCAGTGGCTCTGGGCCTCTGGGTAGCGTGGGAAGGTGGAAAGGTGGCTCCAGAGTTGAAAGGCAGCTCTGGCTGCAGTGAAGGCAGTGCCGGCAGCCAGGGGAAGGAAGACCCATTCTTGCACAAATCTTCATACATTGAGCCTCTAATTATAATAATTACAGTAATTATTATTCAGCCATAAAAATAGAATGAAATATTGCCATTTGTGACAATATGAATCAGACATTATACTAGGTGAAATAAATGAGAAAGAGAAAGAAACAATGACACAAAAACAAGCTCATAGATATAAAGAACAAATTGGTGATTGCCCAAGGCACAGGTGGTAGTGGGCAAAAAGGATGAAAGCAGTAAAGGTATGAACTTCCAGTTATAAAATAGTCATGGGGATTTCATATACAATATAGTTAATAATGCTATACTGTTTATTTGAAAGTTGCTAAGAGTGATATTAAAAGTCTTCATTGTAAGAAGAAAATTGTCTTATGTATAGTGACAGATGTTAACTAGACTCACTGTGGTGATCATTTTACAATATATACTAATTGTGAACCATTGTATTTTACACCTGAAACTAATATAATGTTGTATATCAACTATGCCTTATTAAAAAATATTTAAAATCATTAAAAATTTTATTATTACTATTTTATATAAAAATAGGAACATTAAAATCACTACAACCAAATAAGAAATGTGACAATCAGATATCAGCAGTGCAGAAAAGTCATAGTAATTAATTGATAGAAAGATAAATGATCTTCGTGATATATTTTTGAGTCCTTAATTACAATTTGCTTATGCCCAATCACACTGAAGAAAAGCCTAATAGTTGAAAACTTCCAGCCTCATAACCATATCTCCTAATCAGCTTTTAAGTGCTGAAATAGTTCATATAAACTGATAACCAACTATGGTTAAATGTGGAGAGATAAGTAATTATGGTACTTATCCCACAGAATTGGAAGACTAAATGTTAAGAACAATGGTTGCCAAATATTTGAGTAGGAAATTTTATTATTATTTTATTTTTTAATCTTCACCCAGGGATATGTTTTACAGTTGAGAGAGAAAGAGAGTCAGTCAGTTGTCTTCCAAAAGTGCCCCAACTTGGGATCTAACGTGAAACCTTCTGGACTCTGGAATGATGCTACAATCAACTGAGCCACCTAGCAGGGCAAGTATAGGGTATTTTAGTTCAACAAAAAGAGAATATCAATAAAGAGACAGAAATTATAAAAAGAAACCAAACAAATTCTGGAGCTAAAACACAGTAAGTGAAATGAAAAATTCACATTTGAGAAAGCAAAAGATAGAAGATGCAAACCCAAAGTCAGTCAATTGAAATTATCCAGTCTGATGAACAGAAAGAGAAAAAAAAAGAAAGAAAGAAAAATATCCACAGAGCTTTAGAGACCTGTGAGATACCAAGTGGATCAACATACACAAAACGGGAGTCCCAAATAAGAGAGGAAAGGAAGAGAATGAATATTTCATAAAATAATGGCCACGAACTTTCCAAATTTGATAAAAGACATGAATTTACACAACCAGGAAGCTCAACAAAATCCAAGAGATACACATGAGACATATTGCATTCAAACTGCTGAAAGTCAAAAGACACTTGAGAATCTTGAAATCACCAAGAGAAGCAAGATATACTGTGAAGGAAGAAGAATGGGGAGTAACAGCTTAATGGTGCTCTTTTGACGGTGATGAAATGTTCAGGAACTTAGTAAATGTGGTGGCCACAAAACAATGCAAATGTACTAAATGCCACTGAATTGTACACTTAAAAAGATTGATTTTATGTTAGTAAGTTCACCTCAATTTGAAAAAACCTAACTTTATTTGCATCACTTGAACAAAATTTTCTAATCCATATATTCCCATCTTATTTTTCAGGCATGGGTATTTGTTTTAAGTATTTATATATGTAGAACAAAGATAGAAACTCAGAGAGTCCAAAATGCATGTATTTTGAAACTACATCCCATCCCTTTCACTCCACTTGCCTTTCCAAAAACTACTAATGTTCCCCATTGTTCTGTATTCTTACAAGTATGAATATAGATTTGCTTTAAATCTATTTGCTTTGGACTATATACACATTGTCAATCTGAGCCATCCTGTTCTCAAATATTGTCTTTCCTAATTTTTTTATTGTTTTCATTCTAGAGTAAAATTAAATCTAATTCTCACTCTATTTCTCATCTTTTCTCATATCTTCTACCTTTTTCTTATTTCTTAATATTTACTTTTCTTTTTGCAAACTTCAAGGATTTTTATTTTCTATGTGATATGTGTATGTGTGTGTGCGCGCGTGTGTATGAATGTATATATATCTATTTACACTAATAAAAGAGTAAAATGATACTATGATCAATGAAGTATGAAAATGTCCTGGAAATTGTCAATGGATTTTGAAACAATTGACAGTACCTTCGCGACACCCACCAGCCAAATGGGAGTATGCAAATTAGCCTAACAAAGATGGTGGGTTAATTTGCATATACAGAAGCCGAGTGGCTGGGGTGGGTGGGACGTTTGCGTCGTCACCACAGTGATGATGCAAGCATTTCGCACCGCCCTAGCTGCTCTGGGCCTCTGAGCAGCGTGGGAAGGTGAAGGCGGTGCCAACAGCAAGAGGAAGGAAGGCTCATTCTTGCATGAATCTTCGTGCATCAGGCCTCTAAGTCTATATAATAAAAGGCTACGCTACCATTATGGCACAATGACAAGCACTGACTACCAGGGGAGACACACCGCAGAGGTGGTGGTTGGTGGCAGGAGCTTCTCTCACCTCTACAGCAGCACTAAGGAGCAATGAACCAAGCGGTAAGGAGAGAGTAGGCAGTCAGTAAGGAACAAGAGAGCCTGGATTGTGAGAGGGATCCTGGACTGCGAGAGGGCGCAGGGTAGGTTGAGGGCCCTGCCCAGTGCATGAATTTCATGCATCGGGCCTCTAGTATATATAAAAGCCTTAGAAACTGTTGTACAGTAGCTATGACACACATTGACCACCAGGGGGCAGATGCTCAGCGCAGGGCAGAAACCACAGGCATAGAAACATGGAACAGACTGATGAATCTCAGAAAGAAGGGGAAAGAGGGAAGGATGGGAAGAGATTAACCAAAGATCTTATATGCATACCAGAGGCCTTGTGCATGGATTCGAGCTGAATCCATGCACCAGGCTTTCAGCATCACCCAAGGGATCCTGGATTACAAGAGGGCACAGGCCAGGCCGAGGGACTCCACCGGTGCACAGATCCATATACTGAACCTCTAATTCACACACACACACACACACACACACACACACATATACATATATATATATATATATATATATATATATATATATATATATATATATATACACACACATATATATATAAAAATATTATTATTGAAAGTATTAACTACCGTGTTTCCCTGAAAATAAGACATCCTCCGAAAATAAGACCTAGCGCATGGAATGATAAGACATCCCCTGAAAATAAGACCTAGCACAACTTTGGGAGAAAAAATTAATATAAGACACTGTCTTATTTTCGGGGAAACAGGGTATGTCCCCTTTAATCCCTATTGACATCTTCTAGCCGGCCCCCAGGCCCCCCCACCAGGCCTTTACCACATTATTATTGTCTGTGTCCATGGGTTATGCATATATGCATAAAAGTTCTTTGATCTCTTCCTACCAACCTATTCACTTCGGCCTTCCCACTGAGAAAAAACATATAACATTTCACAAGTTTGTGTGTGATCCTTGCATAGAGGTCATGCTACTCTTCTCTGTATCGTTCCAATTTTAGTATATGTGCTGCCGAAGAAAGAATGTGCTTCACATTTATTCTTTCTATTCAATCTAGTCTGCTGTTGAATCTAACCATTAAAGTTTTAATTTTAATGATGTATTTTTATTTCTAGTTATTTGCATTTTTTCTAATTATACCTTAACTGTTTTGACAAAGTTGTATTTCTTCATTATGGTTTCTATTCCTTCTTTTATCATTTTATATGCTTGTATATACTTTATATACCTACATATATCTTTACTGAAATCTCTTAATAATTACACATTTATTTTATAATCACTTTCAGAGTTGTATATAGTATCTTTAATTCCTGTGGTACTATTTTCCAGTAGTATCTGATCATCTTTACTGGCTAATAATTTAATTATGAAGTCACCTTCACTAGAGACTGTTTTGTCCATGGATACTATGATCAATGAAGTATGAAAGTGTCCTGGAAATTATCAATGGATTTTGAAACAATTATGAGGTTTACTCCTAGTCTTGGGATTCCTGCACCAAATCGGTAATACAAATTTAGGTTATATATTATATATTATGTAGGCTGAGATTTCTATTTTTCATAGGAACTTTCCTCCTATCCAAAGTCCTAGGCAGATGGGCAAAATTCCTTATAATTTTCATTCACTGGAATACAAAGTTCTCTGTTAAATGGGTAATTCAGTCTTCTGACAGAAGCTAAATTCCAGTTCTCCTTTCTACTGAGTTCTAAGGCTTGTGATCCTAGCATGCACATTAAAATTCTAGTACCCAATTCTCAAACCACATAAGTGGTATGAAATTCCCATAGAATGTCAGTGCATCAGCTCCTGTTTTGGCCTTGAGTTACTTCCCCTTTGCTTTTTATCTGGAAATTATCCTTTTTTTCTCTCTGATGCTTGGATGCATATTGAAAGAGCTTTAATGCTATTCTACACTTTAATTTGTTGGTATGGGGGGAGGCCACCTACTAGGGACTTAGCCCACTATGTTATCCAAAGCCCCTTATTACAGTTTTTAGAACAAGTAAACTATTGTAGGGTGTACCTGATAGATTATTGACAATCCCCTAAGCATACAAATCAGTGAAAAGAATCTCAAGATGCAGATATACACAAAACTGCTATCATACAAGTATCCTTAATTCATTCAACTACTTAACAAGTTATAAGCATAGTGCTAGGGACCACAGTATAGAAGAAGAAACAGACATATGTATACCAAGAAGCCTGGATGGCTAGGATAAGGGTGTTGCCATAAATATAACAGAGGTTGAGTAGAAAATAGAATTGGCAGTGAGGGAAAATTTTGTTGGCTTTACAACCTGTTAGTCTTAAGTATCCAAAAGCACATGCAAGTGACTAACTACATCTAGGAGATACAAGACTTATGCTTCTAAGATCTTGAATTAATAAGCTCAGTATTAACTAAAGAAAATAATAAATAATCAATATACACTAGAGAAACAATTTTTTAAGATCCAATTCCTGCACAGTAAAAAATTTACACTAGACAATTTTTTAAGATCCAATTCCTACACAGTAAAAATTTACACCACATAATTTATACTAATTTCCTCTGAGTACAAATAGATACTGAGTACAAAAAAGAGACATGAGATTCCAGAGGCCTATTCCAACTCTTACCTTAAAACTCTTTATAATAGGCAACAAGTAATTTCTGCATTTGACCTATCTGTATTCCAGAAAGAAATTGTAGGCCTAGCTGTTTTGGCTTTTCAATTTCTGATGTTATGGGAAATGAAATTATGTAATGATAATGTTCACAATACAGTGTGCATTTGATACAATAGTTGCATAGGTGCAATAAAAACTGCCTAATACTGCTTGATAAAATAATGAGAAGCTTCTCAGTAAATTTCAACTTCATTTTTACCACTAGAGGGCTCCCTTATAATTTGATTTCTAATCCCTTAGCCACTCAAATTTTAGAAACACCAAGTACAATGACTTAAAATAACGGTTTATTCTGCAATATAATCTCTTTAAAAAAAAAAAAATAAAAAAATAAATATATATATATATATATATATATATATATATATATATAGTTTTATTGAGTTTAGAGAGGAAGAGAGAAGGAGAGAGAGACAGAAGCATCCTGCACACCTCACACTGGGGACTGTTCCTCAGCCCGGGCATGTCCCCTGACTGGGAATCGAACCATGACCTCCTGGTTTATAGGTCAACACTCAACCACTGAGCCAAGCCAGCTGGGCAATAACATCTTATTTTAAAATTTACCAATAAATAATTATCAAATCACTTTATACACCAGAGGACTTTATGGACAGAAAAATGTGCTAAAGTACTAACAGTTGAAGGAACAGTTCCCTCCTAAGGCAACAAAAGTAGGGCTGATAAGCCCTAAAATAAGAAAACTCAAATTTTCTCATAGCTCTTGGTCAGCTTTTATATTGATGGACTTACGTTTTAAGTGTTCCAGATGTCATAAGTTCTGTCACCAAAACAATGCACTTCTTTCCTTTTAGTGTGGATTCCCAGGAATCATAGAATCGAACAATATTGGGATGCTGAAGACCCTTTAACATTTCAGCCTCTTCTTTAAATCTCTGTCTCTCAGACTTTGTTAACTTTCGATCCTACAATCAAAAATGAAAACAGAATGTAGTTTAAAATAATAAAACACCAAATTACAGTTAAATTTAGATGGTAAACATGTACTAAATTATAATGATCAACAGTGTTAAAATAAAAACACTACAACAAGTTTACTAATAACAATTTCTTCAGTCTATGATATGAGTGTGGAAACAGGCTAAAGTTTAAGAAAACTTTGAACTATAAAGTCATGCTTAAGATTATTTTAGTAACACTATTAAATATGCCTCAAATACAATCTCATTTTGTATATGAGTTAACTTACCACTTCTAAAATAAGTCATCTATTGCTAGAGATGTGCAATTTAATAACAGGAAACAAGTATGGGTTTTAGAGGTAGAAAGGTCTAAATATAAATTCTAGTTCTATCTTTGCTTTGGTTAGAATTCCCTTTATGAATATATACCTTCAACTCACAGGGACTATTGTAAGAATTAAATAATTTACTAGGAATGCTTTTATCACATGTTTAAAGCACGTGGCACAGGCCCGTAACAGCTCGCTCCTCGCCTGCCCCCGCCCCAGGGCTGCCTCTCAGACATGGCTGGAAACCTTTGGGGGAACTTGAGGGTCTGCTGAATCAAGTGATGAAGGCTTAGATCTGGATGTGTTGAGTTAGTACAGTGCTGGGGTATTGATCTGTGAGTGCCTTGTGTGGGGTCTGGATGAGGTTGGTTGATCTATTTGGAAATGTCTTTTGTGTGAAGTGTACCCTTGGGCATGTGGAGGTATTATTGATTTGAGAAAATGCTAAGTAACTTATTTACTATCTGAAAAATTTAAAGTTCTGAAAGTTTAAGGTCTCTTACCAAAAAGAGGTTTTAAAGCTAACACCTTAATTTTAATGGAGAAAGGGGAGGACAAGCCCTTCTCACCCAGAATAGGTAATCCAATTCCAACCAGCAGCTATCTTTAAACAATGTATTCATTTACATTTAAATGGCTACACCTTTTGATAATCTAAGGGCAAGTTTACATGTAAACAAGTTTGCTTCTCAATTCCCAGGGCAGAAAAAACAAGGTTTAAAATTATTAGATTTTAAATTTTATTCTTAGAAGTATAAAAGTTTATTAATTAAAAAACAAACAACAACAACAACAAAAAAAGGAGATTGAAAAACCTGATGAACAATATTAGCTGTTGATTGTAGTAGAGTCGGAGATACAGGAGGGGAAGTGGAAAGGGGGAGTGGTGGATGCGGGAAGAGACTGAACATAAACTGTGCACCTATGGATGAGGACAATGGGGGGTGGGGAGGAGGTGGAGGGTGGAGTGGGAACCTGATGGAGGGGGGAAAAAATGAGGAACCTTTGTAATAATATGAACGATAAAGATTGATTAAAAAAAATAATAAAGCACCTGGCACTTCACAGATTAGTTCCTACCTGAGATAAACTGGGGAAAAGCAATTAATTTGTTGTTTTCCTTTAACAAGGTTCTATATACACAAACTCTGAATTGTTCTACAAATTTAAATTGAAACTATCTCACATTAACATTCTATCAAAACAAGTAATATATATTTTAACAAAATATTCCAGATATATAATAAAGTATTGTGTCCATCATCCAGTCAAATAATTAAACATCACAAACATAATTTAAAGCCCTCCGTGCAATTAGGTTGCCCTTCTCATCACAATTCCTTACCCTTGAACAACCACTACCCTGAATTTGAACATACCATTCCTATATGGGTTTTTACACTTTATTTTTTTTTTAATATATTTTTATTGATTTCAGAGAGGAAGGGAGAGGGAGAGAGAGAAACATCAATATGAGAGAGAATCATTGATCAGCTGCCTCTTGCATGCCTTTTAGTGGGGACTGAGCCCAAAACCCAGATATATGCCCTTGAATGAATTGAACCCATGACCCTTCAGTTCGTAGAATGATGCTCTATCCACTGAGCCAAACTGACTAGGGCTGGGTTTTTATACTTTATATCAAATGTTAAAATTTCATAAAATGATGGTATAGAGTATGTATTTTTTGGAATTTTGCTTCTTTTTCACTCAATATTGAGATAATCTTTGATGGCATACAATATATCTACCTTATTATTATAACTTGGCTCCACTCATTATCACTGCTTTATAGTTATCCTTTGTCTGAATATACAGGATGGGGCAAAAGTTTACAGTTGTTCATATGAAAATAATAATAAAAGAATAAACTTTTGTGTACTCACAACTATAAACCAACTTTTGCCACATTCTGTATTACAATTTATAAAATCTATTAATGAATCTTCAAGTTGTTCCCCATTTTTTGTTACTACTATACTGTAATAATAGTGTTGCAATGTTAATCTTGGACATACATTTAAGGGTATCAATAGGACACCTGTTCTTTTTTTATTTTTTAATTGATTTTAGAGAGAGAAAGGGAGAGAAAGTGAAAGAAGAGAAACATTGATTTATTGTTCCACTTATTTATACATTCACTGGTTGACTCTTTTATATCCTCTGACCAGGGACTGAACCTGAAATCTTAGCATATCAGGATGACACTCTAACCAACTGAACTACCCGGCCAAGGCAGAACACTCATTCTTAAAGAGTCCAAAAAACCTTTTAAGGAAGGTTTGTGAATATGTGTGAAAACAAACAAATACTTTTCACTTACCATGAATTGAAATTTAATATCTCCTTGAATTACTAATGTGTACACCTAATAGCACAATAGTAACTGTGATTTTGTCACCAACAGACCTAGATTATTTTCATCTCACCTAACGATAGATGCATATTATCTCAAAATAACATTTACACAAATCATTATTTTGAAATTATGATAGCTATTAGACTTTCAGTAGGTTTTATTATGCACTAATAATGCATAATATATCACAAATTTAAAATTTTGATAACTATTCAATATTAGTTTCCATTAAAATCCAATGTATTTCTATATAAACTTAGCTTTCACCAGCCTTCAAAAAAAAGACCTGAGGCACAAAAAATATAAGAGCAATTATTAGAATACATGGCTAATAGAATTGTTAGATCATATAGGGTAGGCAGCTTTTTTTTTCATAAGGATCAACAAATTGCTTCTCAAAGTGACTATACAATTTACTCCCCTAAAAGCAGTCACCAACAATTAGCATTATGAGACATCAACTTTTGCCAATTTGATGAGTGTAAAATCACATCCTGTTGCTTAATTTACATTTTTAGAATCAATAAGCATTCGAAGCTTTTTGTGTCTTTGTGAACTACCCAATCATATAATTTGTTTCTTTATCTTATTTGAAGGAGTTCTTAATATATTCTGGATACTAATTCTTTGTTGGTTTTATGATTTACAAATACATTTTCTCAATTGTAGCTTGTATCCTCACCTTCAGTTGTAGCCCTACACATGGGTTTTGAATAAGCCATGATAACTGACAGCTCAATTTGCAAAGATCCCCGCCAACCTCCACACCCCGCCTGCTTCATGAATAGGCAGGTTTGCCCAGTCTCCTTCTCAGAATTTCTTCTCCCTGGGTCCTGGTTCATCTCCAAATTATCACTGCAAGATTGGTGTCTCTCAAAGTTCCTTAAACAGCCCCTTTCACAGTCCTTTATCACTTTATTCCCACTCCCAACTGGAAGCTGTGACCATCTACAATAGGGGTGTCGAACTCAATCAGAGAAGGGGCCAAAATCTAAAATCCAGCCTAAATCGCGGGCCGAATGGTTTACTGAACAGTCATAAACTGTCATTGTGATGGAAACGCAGTGGAGTGCAGTGATGACAGCGCGGTGCGGGCCACATTGCAAGGCCTGGCGGGACGGATTTGGCCCGCGGGCCTTGTGTTTGACACATGTGATCTACAAAGTCACATACGGTACCTCATCCACTAAGACTGAAATACATGGCAGCATAGCTATTTCATCCTGGATTATCCTTCTAAAACATTCCTTTTCTGGAGGACAGATAGCCAACACACAAGTCAAAGTACCTGAGACATGATGACGGAGGAAGATATTTATCACTTAGTTTTTAATTGCAATGTATTTTCACTCCTTGAAGTTCTATTTGGGTCTTTGTCAAATCAACTAGAGGCCCAGTGTCCAGCCTACACCCTCTCCAATCTGGGACCCCTCAAGGGATGTCTGACTTCCCTCTCACAATCCAGGACTGCTGGCTCCCAACTGCTCGCCTGCCTGCCTTCCTGATTGCCCCTAACTGCTTCTGCCTGCCAGCCTGATCACCCCCTTAACAACTCCCTGCCAGCCTGATTGATGCCTAACTGCTTCCCTGTCAGCCTGATTAACCCTAACTGCCCTCCCCTGCCAGCCCAGTCACCCCTAACTGCCCTCCCATGTAGGCCTGACCCCTCCCCCCAAACTGCTTTTCAAACTGGTTGCAGGCTTGGGTCCCCCACAACTGAATTTCCCTGCAGGCCCAGTCGCCCCCAACTTCCCTCCCCTGCAGGCTTGATCACCCCCAACTGCCTTCCCTTGCAGGCCTGGTCCCCCCAACTGCTCTCCCCTCCTGGCCTGATTGCCCACAACTGCCCTCCCTTGCAGGCCTGGTACCTCCCAACTGCCCTCCCCTGCCTGCCATCTAGTGTCCACATAAGGGCAGCCATCTTGTGTGTTGGAATGATGGTCAATTTGCGTATTACTCTTTTATTAGATAGGATTATTAGAGAGGATTATTCACTACTTCCAACACCATCTTGATTTTTGTTTTAGTTTTTAGTCCTTTTACTGATAACATAACTTACTTTTACAGACTCAAATCACTGCCACTTTTATCGGAGTTACTATTGTTTTGGCTGCTGATATTCACTTCTATTCTTTTTTGCTATATGTGGTTATTTCAAATTGTGATGTTTGTTGGAATATACTGTTGTGAATGTATCCCACAATCTCTAGTCTGTTTTTCATTTCATTTAATTTTCCTCTTCAAAGAACAACTTTATTGGATCTCAATCTTAATATCTGCTTGGACTTGAGATTTCATTTATCCTCAGATAGATA